CACACTGTTGCCCCCCCCCCCAAGCACCAAGAATACAGAGCCTCCCTTGCCCCAGACCGAGAGTTCCTATCTATGCCTTGTGGCTCATAGCCACTGATGGACCTCTGCTCCAAATGTATAAGAACATAAGAGAAGCCCGTGTTGGATCAGGCCAAGGGCCCCTCCAGTCCAACACTCTCTGTGTCACACAGTGGCCAAAAACACCAGGTGCCCTCAGGAGGCCCAGCAGTGGGGCCCAGGACACTAGGAGCCCCCTCCCACTGTTGCCCCCCCCCCAAGCACCAAGAAGACAGAGCATCCCTTGCCTCAGACTGAGAGTTCCTATCTATGCCTTGTGGCTAATAGCCACTGATGGACCTCTGCTCCAAATGTATAAGAACATAAGAGAAGCCCGTGTTGGATCAGGCCAGTGTCCCATCAAGTCCAAAACTCTGTCACACAGTGGCCAAAAACACCAGGTGCCCTCAGGAGGTCCAGCAGTGGGGCCAGGACACTAGAAGCCCTCCCATTGTTGCCCCCCCCAAGAGCACCAAGAAGACAGAGCATCACTTGCCCCAGACCGAGAGTCCCTATCTATACCTTGTGGCTATGAGCCACTGATGGACCTCTCTGCTCCATATGTTTATCCAATTCCCACTTGAAGCCATCCATGCTTGTAGCCATCGCCGCCCCCTCCTGTGGCCGTGAATTCCATGTGTTAATCATTCTTTGAGTGAAGAAGGACTTCCTTTTATCTGTTCTAACCCCGACCGCTCAGGAATTTCCCATGAGTTCTCGTATTGTGAGAAAAGGGAGGAAAGAACCTCTTTCTCTACCTGCTCTATCCCATGCATGCGTTAAGTTCTCGCTCACGAAAGCGTAAATGTGCAAAAGGCGCCACAGGACTCTTCCTTATTTGGGTTGCAAGAGGCTAGCACAGCCTCTGAGCCACAATCCGCCTTCTCTCCCCTGCCATGTCACCCCCTCGGCCGTCGTTTCCCCGAGCTAAAGAGCCCCAAGCGCTTTATTTATTTATTATTTATTTATCAATTGCATTTGTACCCCGCCCTCCCCGCAGTGCAGGCGTTAACCTTTCTTCTCTCTCTTTGGGGGCAGGCGAGGGGGGGGGCATGGCGGAGGCTCTGCAGAAGAAGCTCCAGGGTGAGCTGGAGAAGTATCAGCAGCTGCAGAAAGGTAAACCTGCCCTCCCCCCACCTCGAAATGGAGCCGGTGCGGGCGGGAAAGGGCACCACTTCTTTCCTTCCGGGTTAGGGTCAGGGTCCAGGGACCAGAGGCAACCACAAGAAGAAGAAGAAGAAGAAGAGATTGGATTTATACCCCGCCCTTCACTTGGAGTCTCAGAGCGGCTTACAATCTCCTTTCCCTTCCTCTCCCCACAACAGACACCCTGAGAGAGCTCTTGACATAAACTGCTCTTTTCCAAGGACAGCTCTTATCAGAACTACGGCTTGTCCAAGGTCATCCAAGCCAGGTGCAAGTGGAGGAGTGGGGAATCGAACCCGGTTCTCCCAGATTAGAGTCTGCACACTTAACCACTACACCAAACAAGTGTCAGAGTCACAAAACCTGCGGCAGGGGAGGAGTTTTCGTGAGTCACTGCAGTCACTTCTTCAGATACAGCAGGGCTCTTCTGATGGTCGTTCTTACGAGAAGGCCGGTGCCCAGTTGGAAGAAGAAGAGATTTGGATTCATACCCCCCGCCCATCACTACCCAAGGGAATCTCACAGCGGCTTTACAGATTCCTTTTCCCTTCCCCTCCCCACGACAGACACCCCCTGTGAGGTAGGTGGGGCTGAGAGAGCTCTTGACAGAAACTGCCCTTGAGAGAACAGCTCTGACAGGACTGTGGCTTGCCCAAGGTCATCCAGCAGCTGCAAGTGGAGGAGAGGGGGAATCAAGCCTGGTTCTCCCAGATTAGAATCTCTGCACACTTAGTAGCTATCCAAAGGTGTTCAATGGCTGGGTTGAGGCTTGTTCCAAGAAGAGGAGGAGATTGGATTTATACCCCAAGGCCCTTCACTACCCAAAGGACCCTCAGAGCGACTTACAAACTCCTTCCCCTCCCCACAACAGACACCCCCTGTGAGGTAGGCGGGGCCGAGAGAGCTCTTGACAGGAACTGCTCTTTCAAGGACAGCTCTGACAGAACTATGGCTTGCCCAAGGTCATCCAGCAGGTGCAAGTGGAGGAGTGGGGAATCAAACCCGGTTCTCCCAGATTAGAGTCCGCGCACACTTAGTAGCCATCCAAAGGTGTTCAGTGGCTGGGTTGAGGCTTGTTCCAAGAAGAGGAGGAGGAGATTGGATTTATACCCCGCCCTTTACTACCTGAAGGAGTCTCAGAGCGGCTTTACAAACTCCTTCCCCTCCCCACAACGGACAGACACCCGGTGAGGTAGGCGGGGCTGAGAGAGCTCTTGACAGCAACTGCCCTTGAGAGAACGCTCTTCTCTGTCTGACAGGACGAATCTCTGTCTTGCCCTCTGTATCTGAAGACGTGTGCACGCACAAGGAAGTTTCTACCCAGAATTAAACTTCGTTGGTCTTAAAGGTGCCCCTGAACTCCCAACTTAAAAAAAAAATTAAATAGGCAGTCTGGCATAGTGGTTAGTGGACTCTAATCCGGGAGAACCTGGTTTGTGTCCCCACGCCTTCATGTGCAGCTGCTGGTGTGACCTTGAGTCAGTCACAAGCTCTCTCAGAGCTGTTCTCTCAGGAGCAGTTTTCTCGGAGCTCTCTCAGCCCCACCTCCCTCACAGGGTGTCTCTTGTGGGGAGGGGAAAGGAGATGGTAAACAGCTCTGAGACACCTTTGGGTATTATTTATTAATTAGACTTTTACCCCGCCCTCCTGCCTAGGCGGCTCAGGGCGGCTTACAATAGTTTAAAACCAACATAACAATCAATATAATATAAGTCTAAAACAATACAGTCAATAAATATATCCAAATACACTTATTAAAATTGAGATTAAGACGTGGCAGCCTTCTGTTATAAAGTGCTAGAACAGTCAGTGTGGTCTGAGCTATTGAAACACTTGCCAGAACAGCTCGGTCTTTACCACTCTACGGAATTGGTAAAGATCCCGCAGGGCTCGAATTCCGTTTGGGAGCTGATTTCATAGTACTGGGAAAACGCCCTAGTTCTTGTCGATGTTAACTTAGCATCCCTAGGACCAGGGGGGACCAAGCGATTTTGCGACTCGGATCTCAGTGCCCTTGGGGGAACGTACGGGGAAAGGCGGTCCCTCAGGTAGACAGGCCCCAGACCATTTAGTGAAGAGCGGGGTACAAATCCAATCTCCTCCTCTTCTTCTTAATTTATTTTGCAATTTTTATCCCGACCTATCCCATAATTGGGCTCAGGGCCCCTTGCGACACGCCAAAGAGGCCAATAGACCAATGCCATAAAGTATTGATTCGTGACAGCATTAATTTCAATACTCTTAATTAATCTATTACTCTTAATTAATCTACTACTATTAATTAATACCGAAGGACAGCTCGGCAAGTAATTACATTCCCCTGTATGCATGAGCTCCTGCCAGCAAAGGGCGGTGGATCACTCGCATGGGAGAGGTCGAAATTAATACATACCAAAAATTAATACATACCTAAGGTCCATAATGTAAATATCACCGTGGAGCGTTTGAGGCACTTGAAGCTGGGGAAGCTGATGTCAGACCAAGACGGCAGCCCACCTGAACGGCTCTCTGTGTGCGTGGGGAGGGGTGGTATTGGGTAAGCTCGGAAATTTTCGGAAAAATTGAAAAAAATGCTACATTAGCACTTCTTTTTCCTTTTCTAGATTGAAAGTCATTCTGTTACTTTAGGAACATAAAATATGACTATGGACATTTTTACTTGGCATGAAATTATCACATCTAGCCTATTAAAAATATAGTGTATCCAAACAGTTATTACAAACAGAATACCCACCCACATGCAAAACCAAAACTGAAGCCTTTTTTATTTTCTTCTGACAATCGCACCTCCTAAAGGAAAAAATGCATCTTGTTCTTGCATGGGAGAGTTCAGTTTGTAACCTAGGACTTGCTTGTCCTCAGTTCACAGAAATTAGATCAATCTGATACCATATATATATAATTTAGAAATGATTTGGAAAATACTTGAACACCTTGTCTTAAAATATTCTATTCATCATGTTAAAATAAAACGCTCCATAATCAATTTTTTTTTCTTTTCTTTTTTCAATGTTTCCAATTTTTCGGAAAAAAACAAAAAGTCTTCAGGAAAAAAACGTTTCCCCCCTGAATTTTTCCGTTTTTTCCCCCTTGGGCCTTCACATCTCTAGTATTGGGGTCTCTGGGAAGGCCAAAGCCATCTGGGGGGGAGTCTTTGGAGCCACAGCCAGAAGTCCTTGGGGTCCGTCAGAGGTGTCGCTTGCGTCAGCATTGCGGGGTAGAGGGGCACCGGAGCCTGCCTCCCAAAAGCTCAAGGGGCATTCCTTGGGCTCAAGGAAAGAACAGGATCCTGGTGTCTCTCACGGAATCACAGAGTTGGGTTAGGGTTCACAGCCAATGTTCCCTCTCCGCTGCGAAGTCTTGTGAGCAAAAATTCTACTTTGTGAGCTGCTGGCCTTAAAGTTGTGAGCTGGCAATTTGGCTGCTGCAGAAATCGGTTTACTCTGGAGCCGCCCTCCTTCCCGAGCCGAGACAAAAACGTGTGAGCCGGAGGCTAAGAAACGGTGAGCTGGCTCACACTGACTCAGCTTAGAGGGAACCTTGTTCACAGAGGCCCTCTCGCCCAACCCCCCTGCTCAGTGCAGGATCAGCCCCAGAGCATCCCTGACCAGTGTTTCTCCAGCCAGTGCTTAAGGACTGCCCGGGGAGGGGGGAGCTCACCACCTCTCAAAGGAAGCCAATTCCACCGTTGCACAACTCCTGGCTGTCAGAAAAGTTTTCCCCTCCTATCCAGCCTGTACCTCCCCGCCCTTCATTCAAGCCCATTCTTGCCAGTCCTATCCAGGGCTCCCTCTAAGCTGTGGCGTCTTGTGAGCAAAAATTCCACTCGGGTGAGCTCCTGGCATCGAGGTTGCGTGCGAGCGATCTGGCCGCTGCATAAACGAGTTTGCTCTGGAGCCCCCCTCCTTCCTGAGCGGAGGCGAAAAACGTGCGAGCCGGAGGCTGAAAAATGTGAGCTGGCTCACACTCACTCAGCTTAGCGGGAACTCCTCTGCCGCCCACAGGAACGGCTCCCTGCCCTCCTCCAAGTGACAGCCCTTCGAATACTTCAAGAGAGCCATCCTGTCCCCCCCACATGCTGCTTTTTGGGGAGGAGGGGGCCCCACTCACCTGCCCTTTCCCGCAGGGTATAAAGCTCAGGAGCAAATGTCCATCTCCTGGGGTTGATGAGAACATCTCTCATTTTTTCCCTCCTCCTTTCCTGTTTCAGACCTCAGCAAGTGCATGACCTCCCGGCAAAAGCTGGAAGCTCAGCTGACGGAGAACAACATTGTGAAGGAGGTAGGTGCCCCCGGACCGCCCTCTTGCGATGGGCCCCCTGCCCCTCGCCTTGCGCCCCCACCCCCCCGGCCTCACAGCACTCTCCCCTCTCGTCTCCTCTAGGAACTGGACCTCCTGGACTCCTCCAACTCCGTCTACAAGCTGATTGGGCCCGTGCTGGTGAAGCAGGACACGGAAGAGGCGAAGGCCACGGTGGGGAAGAGGCTGGACTACATCACGGGGGAAATGTGAGTCCGTGGAGGGAAGGGGAGTTCGCTGAGGGGGCCAGTCTAGGAATGACAAAAACGGGGGAAAGGGGGGGGACTCAACCCAAAATCAGCTGTGAAGAAGAAGAAGAGAAGAGATTGGATTTATACCCCGCCCTTCACTACCCAAAGGTGTCTCAGAGCGGCTTTCAAACTCCTTTCCCTTCCCCTCCCCACAAGAGACACCCTGTGAGGTAGGCGGGGCTGAGAGAGCTCTTGACAGAGACTGCTCTTTTTTCAAGAACAGCTCTTGTCAGAACTAAGGCTTGGCCAAGGTCACCCAGCCAGGTGCCAGTGGTGGAGGAGGAGGAGGAGATTGGATTCATACCCCATGGCCCTTCACTACCCAAAGGAGTCTCAGAGCGGCTTACAACCTCCTTTCCCTTCCCCTCCCCACAACAGACACCCTGGGAGGTAGGCGGGGCTGAGAGAGCTCTTGACAGAAACTGCTCTTTTTTCAAGGACAGCCCTTATCAGAGCTACGGCTTGCCCAAGGTCATCCAGCGAGGTGCATGTGGAGGAGTGGGGAATCAAACCCAGCTCTCCCAGATGAGAGTCCGCGCACTTAACCACAACACCAAACTGGCTCTAGAGGGTCAAGCTACAAACTATATCATACAAAAATACAAAATGTTTATTAAGGTGTACACCATAACTAAAAAGAAATGGTCTAAGTTTCAAACTTAAAAGGCTCGTGCCAACCAAGTTACATACAAATATAATGGATGGGTACAATCTTTTGACCTAACTACCCTTCGGACTGTTCTCAGTGGTCAATATTCTTTCTATTACAATGACACACATCCAGAAATGTACACATAAGAAAATCTTCCCTCTAAGCCGTGGAGTCCTGTGAGCACAAATTCTACTTTCTGAGCTACTGGCATTAAAGTTGTGAGCAGGTGATTTGGCTACTGCATAAATTAGTTTGTTCTGGAGCCATCCTTCCTGAGCGAGGAAAAAAATGGGTGAGCTGGAGGCTAAAAAACTGTGAGCTAGCTCACACTAACTCAACTTAGAGGGAACACTGCACCAGACGTTGTTTTGTTATATGCGATTGCATTTGCAATTGCTACAGGTTTGTATTGTAGGCTATCAATCATAGGCCCTAAATAGCAGCCATATCAATTTTTCACATTATTCTGGTGTCAAGGATTCCGTTAGTCATGACAATGTGTCTCACTTCCATCAAAGGCAGTAGTCTAGTTTCACGAGCCTTTTAAGTTTGAAACTTAGACCATTTCTTTTAACCGCTGTATGTTTTAGTTATGTGTACAGATCCTGACAAAGGTTAGTCAAATGTAAGAAAGGGGGCCGATATTAAAAAATGTAATGAAGAAAAAATATAAAAAATACATGTATTTATTAATCACAAATTTAAAAACTATATAAGGGCCCGATCATACGTTATGTATAAATAACAAACGATAAAACACAAGGGCTGATCAGTCTGACCTGACGCGTTTCGGCCTAGGTGGGCCTTCCTCAGAGGTCAATCGTGAGGAACATATTGGCTATTATACAAATCTAGTACAATCATGTAAATACAAAGTATAAATTCAATAAGGACCAGAAGCAAGTTGTTTCAAGATGAACCACCAGGCACAGAGTAAAAAATAAATGAGGCCTCTGAAAGCGCAACCACAGGCCAAGTGGTTCTCAGATATAAACTTCTGGTCCAGGAATCGCCTTCCTATGGTTGTAGAGCCAAATTGTCCTCAAGCAAAGAGCCTGGTGGTGCTGGGGGGGGGGGGTCAACAGTGGGAGGGCTTCTAGTGTCCTGGCCCCACTGGTGGACCTCCTGATGGCACTGGTTTTTCTTGCCACTGTGTGACAGAGTGTTGGACTGGATGGGCCTTTGGCCTGATCCAACACTGGCTCCTCTTATGTTCTTATTGACCCCCCCCAAGCACCAAGAAGACAGATCATCACTTGCCCCAGAGTCACTATCTATAACCTTGTGGCTCATAGCCACTGATGGACCTCTGCTCCATATACTTATCCGGTTCCCTCTTGAAGCCGTCCATGCTTGTAGCCGCCGCCACCTCCTGTGGCAGTGAATTCCATGTGTTCATCACTCTTTGGGTGAAGAAGGACTTCCTTTTATCCGTTCTAACCCGACTGCTCAGCCATTTCATGGAGTGCCCACAAGGAGTTCTTGTATGCAGGGCCGGCCCCAGCTTATTTTGCACTCTAGGTGAGGATCCCTTCTGGCGCCCCCCGTGCCCCCCCCTGGTCAGAGCCAGCGGGGGGGCTGTTGGTGGGGGGCGAGTGCAGTTTGGCACCCCTCATCAGGGCACCTGGAGAAGACGCTGACTGGCAAGGTGCTCATAAGTCTTCGCTTCCCCAGCCCTCCCCGGCCGCGAGGAGGAGGAGGAGAAGCGCTCCGCTGGGAAGCTGAGGGGGCAGGCGGGGAGAAGTTAGCCAGCCAAAGAGGTGGCGGGCAGCGGCAGGGGTTACCCAGCCTTGGAAATGCAGGTCTTTAGGCGGGGGGGGGGCTTTTGGTGGGGGGCGTGTGCAGTTTGGCGCCCCTAAGGTTGGTGTGCTCTAGGCGAACGCCTAGTGAGCGAGCCGGCCCTGCTTGTATGGTGAGAAAGGGAGTGAAGTACCTCTTTCTCTACCTGCTCTATCCCATGCATAATCTTATAAACCTCGATCATGTCACCCCTCAGCTGTCGTTTTGCCAAGCTAAAGAGCCCCAAGCGCTTTAACCTTTCTTCATAGGGAAAGTGTTCCAACCCTAATCTGGAGTCCTCGGCTCAATCCCCCCCCCCACTGGAAGCCTGCCGGGTGGTCTCGGGCCAGTCCCGGTTCTCTTAGGACTCTCTCTGCCTCCTCTTGCTGACCTCACAAGGTGCCTGCTGTGGGGAGGGGAAGGGAAAGGCGATTGTCAGCCGCTCTGAGACTCCTCCGGTTAGAGAAGGGCAGGGCATAAAAACCGACGCTGCTTCTTCGTAGCCTGTGCACCCAGCCGATGGGGCGGGCGGGACTGGTGATTCGCTTGAATGGGCAGGGCTATTTTTGGGCAGGAACGCACAGGAACGGAGTTCCGGCTGGCTCCCAAGTTGGCCACGCCCAGCAGGAACTCATGAGCATAATAGGCCACACCCAACAGCAGGAACTCATTAGGATTGGCTACATTAGGGGTGTGTGTGTCCTAACATGCAAAGGAGTCCCTGCTACAAAAAAAGCCCTGGGTTTTGACAACAAAGTAAACAGAATAAGAAGCAAAAGGTGGGTGTGGCTGGATCACCACACTTCTGGTAATGTGGGGGTGCGGCCTAATGTGCTAATGAGCTGTGCCGGCAGGGGTGTGGCCTAATATGCTAATGAGTTTCTGGTGTTGTGTGTGGCCTATTATGCTAATGAGTTCCTGCTGGGCTTTTTCTACAAAAAGAGCCCTGTGAATGGGTGTGGGGCGGAGTCTCAGAAGGGGGGTGGCGGCGGTGGGGGAGGGCTTCACTGATGACCAGCCATTCTGAGCTGGGGAGGAATTTTTTCTTTGATGGGCGGCCAGGCACACCAGCGGTGTGGTGAGGAAAACGATCTTGCGCCGCTTAGCCCCAGAGGTGGCGGCATTTCTCTTCTGAGGAGGCTATAGGAAGCGCGGCCGTGAGGCGAGGCATTGGCCGTGCACGGTCTCTGGCCCTCTAAGCTGTGGAGCCTCGTGAGCAAAAATTTCCCTCTGTGAGCCATCTGGCCTTAAAAAGTTGCGAGCAAGCGATTTGGCCGCGGCCTAAATCAGTCTGCCCCGGAGCCCTCCTTCCCGGGCGAAGGCAGAAATGTGTGAGCCGGAGGCTTTAAAAAAAACTGTGAGCTGGCTCACGCGCACTCAGCTTGGAGGGAACACTGCTCTGGACCAATGTTCCCTCTAAGCTGAGTTAGTGTGAGCTAGCTCACAGTTTCGTAGCCTCCAGCTCACACATTTCTGTCTTGGCTCAGGGAGGAGGGCTCCAGAGCAGACGAAACTGGCTGCCCCCTCCCATTCCTGGAGGAATTGTATAGCTCTCGATGCTTGAAAAAAAGCAAAGAACATTCTGCAGGATTTGTCACACCCTGAACACTCCTTGTTTGAACTGCTGCCTTCGGGTAGAAGATACAGGACAATCAAAGCAAGGACAAACAGGTTAAAAAACAGTTTTTATTCGAGAGCTATTATTGCTTTAAATGCTGTCTGAAATTGGAATTTGGGTGACATTGGTGGTTTAAGTTGCAATGTGAACCTTAAGGGAGTTATGGGATGGTTGTGAATGGTTGTGTGAGTGTATATGAGTATGGCTGTAGATCACTGAAATGATTGCACCTTTAATTTCGTTGTACTATGTTCTGCGTGCGCCGTCTGGGTTTAAGTGGCTAGGGGATGAAAATCAGAGGAGAGAGTCCCGCCTTCCTGGAGGACGGGAGTGCTTTCAGCTTGCGATGTCCGAGGCACTGTTCAAAACGCAGTCGGCCCCATTCCCCCCCCAGAAGCCACACGAGAACCTCCACGTTCAGAGAAGAAGAAGAAGAGAAGAGATTGGATTTATACCCCGCCCTTCACTTGGGAGTCTCAGAGCGGCTCACAAACTCCTTTCCCTTCCCCTCCCCACAACAGACACCCTGTGAGGTAGGGGGGGCTGAGAGAACTCTGACACAAACTGCTCTTTTTCAAGGACAGCTGTGCCAGAGCTTGTGACTGACCCAAGGTCACATCAGCAGGTGCAAGTGGAGGAGTGGGGGATCAAACCCGGTTCTCCCAGATTAGAGTCCGCACACTTAACTACGACACCAAACAGAGGCAGTGTATCATTCACAGGATAGTAGCAGGGAGGGAAGCCGTTTCCTTGCTGCTGCCCGTGGGTTTCTGGGAAAGCAGCCGGCCAACCCCAGGATTGCCCGGCCTCAGACGGACCCCTCGGCCCGGTCCGGCGAGTGCGGTTCTCCGGGTGTCCTCGTAGGTTCGGCGCCCGCGTCTGTCACGTTTTTACCGGTGCGGCTGCAGCTTCCCTTTCTCTCTCTCTCCCCCTCCCTTGCAGCAAGCGGTACGAGGCCCAGATGCAGGACTACGAGAAGAAGTCGGAGCAGCAGCGGGAGGGCCTGGCGCGGCTCCAGCAGGAGTTCCAGAAGACCCAGGCCAAGGGGGCCGTCAAGGCCTGAGCTGCGCGTCCGGATCCCCCCCCCCCAGGACTGTGCCAAGTGGGGAGACGGGGGTGTGTGTGCGTGGAGCTTGTCCGTTCCCCTGTAGATGTCAGTATGCTGTTTTGTCTGAAATAAAAGTTGGGTCAGTTCTCTCAGCAGGCCTCCTAACCGCCACCAGGGACGGGGCGGGAGATGGCTGCACCCTCCTCTGTCTCTTCTCCCTCTCGGGAGGGGAGAAGCCCCCTGAACAAACAGTCTCCCTTGGAACGAGAACTTGCGAGAGGAAGCAGCAGTGTGTGTGTGTCTGTGGTAGAGTGCAGACTGCAGGGGAGGGGCCCCGGCTCAGTGGGAGAGCCAGGGCTATTTTTGGGCAGGAAGGCACAGGAACGGAGTTCCGGCTGGCTCCCGAGTTGGCCACGCCCAGCAGGAACTCATGAGCATAATAGGCCACACCCAACAGCAGAAACTCATTAGGATTGGCTACATTAGGGGGTGTGTGGCCTAACATGCAAAGGAGTTCCTGCTACAAAAAAAGCCCAGGGTTTCGACCACAAACAAGGTAAACAGAATAAGAAGCTGGATGTCGACACTTCTGGTAACATGGGGGTGCGGCCTAATATGCTAATGAGCTATGCTCTCATGGGTGTGGTCGGATATGCTAATGAGTTCTGTTGTTGGGTGTGGCCTATTATGCGAATGAGTTCCTGCTGGACTTTTTCTACAAAAAAAGCCCCGGGGAGAGCCTCAGCTTTGCCTGCAGAAGATGAAATAAATGAAATAATAAAAGATCCCCAGTTTGATCCCTAGCTGCCTCTCCAGCAGTGTTTTCCTCTAAGCTGAGTCTAAGCTGGTTGGTTGAAAAATCGTACCCAACAGGTGCTTGTAAATGGCTCTGCGTCTACGTGGAGGGAAATCTCGAGTGGAGTGCCACAGGGCTCGGTCCTAGGCCCAGAGTTGTTCAGTGTTTTTATCAATGACCTGGAGGAAGACATAGAGGGGATGCTCATCAAATTTGCAGATGACACAAAGCTGGGTGGGATTGCTGATTCCGAGGAAGACAGAGCCAGGATTCAAAATGATCTAGATAGGCTGGAACAATGAGCGGAGACAAATCAAATGAATTTCAATAGAGAGAAGGTCAAAGTCCTACACTTACGTACAAAAAATCAAAGGCACCGATATAGAATGGGAGGGACTTGGCTTGACAGCAGCACACGTGAAAGGGATCCGAGTGTTCTTCTCGCGCTGTCTGCTGGCGATGACAAGCCCCTCTGGGAGGGGGGCGGGACTGACAGTCCGGCTTCCCCCGGACTGAAGGGAAGGGGCCCAGGGTAAGGCCCCGCATTTCAGACCCTGCTGAAATCCGCTCTGGAAGCAGCTCAGGCAGCATCTGCCGGGAAGGCCTCCGCACGGTCCGTCCAGAAGAGGCCCGGCTCTGGCACGACTCCGTCGACGGAAACCTCGCGGGCGTCTTGGCAGCAAAGGGACATGGGAAGCATCTGCCGGGGACGGAGGCAGAGGGCCAGGCAGGAAACTCGGTTTTTTATAGCCCAAAGGCAGTCTAATGGGTGGCTGGTTTTGGCCGCCGGATGCACTCGGTGTGTGCTCAGACACTCTGGCTTCTGTGGCTTTTCCCTCAGGGCAGGACCAGCAGAGTGTCTCTGTGTCCTGCGGCTGTTGAATACCCTGCCCTTCACTACCCAGAGGAGTCTCAGAGCAGCTTACAAACTCCTTTCCCTTCCCCTCCCCACAACAGACACCCTGTGAGGTAGGGGGGGCTGAGAGAGCTCTTGACAGAAACTGCCCTTTTTCAAGAACAGCTCTGACAGAACTATGGCTTGCCCAAGGTCATCCAGCCAGGTGCAAGTGGAGGAGTGGGGAATCAAACCCGGTTCTCCCAGATCAGAGTCCGCACACTTAACCACGACACCAAACTGGCTCAAAAGACCCCCAAAAACAGCGGCATCAAAAACGCGAGGATTTTCTCTCTTTTCTGCGAGGCGGCAGCGTGAGGGGGGAAAGAGACCCACACTTTAGGACTGTGAACCGCTAACCCCAGTCTGCCAGGGTCAGGTACACGGCGGTGTGCTCTCAGAGAGGCTGAGCAGAACCAGACGCTTCTGTAGAAAAGGCAAGATTTATTAAAGGATTTACACCACACGACCCCTGTCTTTGCAAACGCAGAGGGCCACCGGTCCCTTCCTTGTGTCCCGGTCCTCTGAGATGGGTGGGTCACCGGCCGGGGGCAAGAAGCCCGTCTGTCCTGAGGGGGGGTGGGCTCCGTGGCTCTCCTCTTGCTCCCCCTAGCGGAAGCTGGCTGGTGAAGGGCCAAGCGCCGTCCCTCCCCTCCTGCCTTAGTGTCTTCGTTGCATTAGTGTTAAAGAGTCCAGAGTGGCGCCAAGCACAGGGGTATTCCAGCGGCAGCCAGGAAGAGGGCACCCACGCTCCCCCTATGCACGTGGGGCGGGTGAGGTTGGAAAGAGAAAGTTTGCATCTCAGCACCCCCGGCTGAGACTCCCTGAGAAATGGCTTCCCTCAGACCCAACCCTTGGCAGTGTGCAAGCGTTATAGTGGAAGAACCTCCCCACCACAGCCTTGGCACACGTGAGGGGGGCTCCTCCCTGCCCCCCCCCAGGAACGGGCGACTGCCAAGTCCACTTCCTGTCTGGGCAGGAAGTGAGGTGGGCCCGTCTTTGCCCGGACCCAGTGCGGGAGGCAGAAGCCAGGCCCTCGGTGGAAGAGGAGGAGAGAAACACCCCAGCGGTGTAACAAAGCCCTGGCTTGGAGAGGCTTTTGAGGAAGGGCAGGGGTCCTCCCTCGAGGGCCTACACCCCCACAACCCCCCCCCCAAGTTTCCTTCCTTAGCTCTTCTAGCCTCGCATGCTGAGTTCCATAAAGCCTCCGGGAAACCCCGTGTTCATCCACGGGTGCAACAGCTGCAGCAAAGGGCACGCAAAACTGGGTCCCCGCGGAAGCCAGCAAAGCAAAGGCGGTCGCCCGCGAGGCCCCGCTCCAGTCGCCGGATGACGGCATGCTCATGGTTGCAGGGCTGCCGCCAGGCACAGAGGCTATTCGGGTCGTGCCAGTCTCTGCCTCAGAAGAAGGCCCTGGCAATCTTGCGCCCGGTGGCTTTGATCTTCGGGAAAGTGGCGTGGACGTCCGTGGCCCGTGGCGCCGGGGTCCGGGGAGGAGGCAGCGGTGGGGACGTTGGGTCTGGCGGGTGCTTGCGGCGGAGGATGAAGTCCAGGCTTGAACTGTTCATGGCATAGAAGATGTTGGCCGTGGGCGGGAAGGCCAATTCTGTGGGGGCGAGAGAGAAGCCGTCAAGGGGGTGTGGCCACCTGGCCAAGCAGAAGCCCAACAGGTGGTGCTACCTGCCCCGCTCTCCAGCCCCCCCCTCTCCCAGTTCAACTCACTACAATATCCCTCCAGTGTTCCCTCTAAGCCGAGTTAGTGGGAGCTATGTCACAGTTTTTTTAGCCTCCAGCTCACGCATTTTTGCCTTCGCTCAGGAAGGATGTGGCTCCAGAGCAAACGAATTGATGCAGCAGCCAAATCGCTCGCTCTCAACTTTAATGCTGGTGGCTCATTTAATGAATCATTCTTTGAATCGCAGCCGGCGATGCAGGGTACAAGGTGCCCGGTTTTAGTTATGCACGCGGGTCTCAAGGTTTGACTAAGTTTCGCTTGGCATGTGTGTACATCTCGAGGCCAGCTGACTGAAGCTCAGCCGGCATCTTGTTTGATAACTCTGATGCGTTATTAAAGATCTCCTTGTAACTAGACCCAAATCTCTCATACAGTTTCTTTGGGGACTTCTGCGAACCTATGTAGCCCCCAGCCAGGGTCCATAACGTCTGCTCCCCTGAGCCACTCTGAGGCAAGTACAGCCCCAAGGATGGAAGTTAATCTCCAGTTAAAAGGACCAGGCGGCTCAGTGGCAGAGCCTCTGCTTGGCATGCAGAAGGTCCCTGGTTCAATCCCCGGCATCTCCAGTTAAAAGGACCAGGCGGCTCAGTGGCAGAGCCTCTGCTTGGCATGCAGAAGGTCCCTGGTTCAATCCCCGGCATCTCCAGTTAAAAGGACCAGGCGGCTCAGTGGCAGAGCCTCTGCTTGGCATGCAGAAGGTCCCTGGTTCAATCCCCGGCATCTCCAGTTAAAAGGACCAGGCGGCTCAGTGGCAGAGCCTCTGCTTGGCATGCAGAAGGTCCCTGGTTCAATCCCCGGCATCTCCAGTTAAAAGGACCAGGCGGCTCAGTGGCAGAGCCTCTGCTTGGCATGCAGAAGGTCCCTGGTTCAATCCCCGGCATCTCCAGTTAAAAGGACCAGGCGGCTCAGTGGCAGAGCCTCTGCTTGGCATGCAGAAGGTCCCTGGTTCAATCCCCGGCATCTCCAGTTAAAAGGACCAGGCGGCTCAGTGGCAGAGCCTCTGCTTGGCATGCAGAAGGTCCCTGGTTCAATCCCCGGCATCTCCAGTTAAAAGGACCAGGCGGGAGGGGATGGGAAAGACCTTCACCTGAGACCCTGGAGAGCTCTCAAGAGGGGCTGTGGCTCAGTGGAAGAGCATCTGCTTGGCACACAGAAGGTCTCAAGTTCAATCCAGTTAAAAGGACCAGGCGGGAGGTGATGGGAAAGACCTTCACCTGAGACCCTGGAGAGCTGTCAAGAGGGGCTGTGGCTCAGTGGAAGAGCATCTGCTTGGCATGCAGAAGGTCCCTGGTTCAATCCCCGGCATCTCCAGTTAAAAGGACCAGGCGGGAGGAGATGGCAAAGACCTCAGCCTGAGACCCTGGAGAGCTGTCAAGAGGGGCTGTGGCTCAGTGGAAGAGCATCTGCTTGGCATGCAGAAGGTCCCTGGTTCAATCCCAGGCATCTCCAGTTAAAAAGACCAGGCGGGAGGAGATGGCAAAGACCTCAGCCTGAGACCCTGGAGAGCTGTCGAGAGGGGCCGTGGCTCAGTGGCAGAGCCTCTGCTTGGCATGCAGGAGGCAGGCCCCAGGTTCAATCCCCAGCAGCTTCTCCAGTTAAACAGGACCAGGTGAGAGGAGATGGCAAAGACCTTCACCTGAGACCCAGGAGAGTTGTCAAGAGAGTCTGTGGCTCAGTGCTGGAGCCTCTGCTTGGCATGCAGAAAGCCCCAGGTTCAATCCCTGGCATCTCCTGTTAAAAGGACCAGGCAGGATGGGACCCTCGACAGACAGCCACTTCCCCCCACCCGGCCCTCCCTCTCTCCCTCCCGAGTTCTCACCTCGGCCTTCGCCCAGGAGCTGCACCAGCTCATAGTTGGGGGCCAGGCCCCGATCCTGGTTGTGCTTCTCCAGCACCTTCGCGATCACGGTGGGCGCCTTGTCCTGACTCGTCACCTGCCGAAGACAGCGAACGAGAGGGGAGGGGGGAAGGGGAGCGCATTCAGCCCTCTGCTCGGAAAAGTCCCTTTCATCCAGTAGCCATCGGGGCCCGGGTGTTTTCCCTGCTCTGTATGGTAACTACTGGCTCTCTTAATTTCATGGTGAAAGGTCCCTTAACCGTTAACAGAGCCGCAACGCAGAGAAACACCGATAAATCGTATCGATGGGGGTAACCTGCTTCATTTTTCTGTTCTCCCTAAAGCAGGCAGTTGTATTTTACCCCAGCAAGAATTATTTTACTAACTGTACCTGGAGAAAAAAAATCCTCAAGATACTAGAAGTGTAAAAACAAACTCTCCCCAGCATCCTGAACACCCATGGAAGTTGGCATACAGATAATAAAGGAGTTAACAACAGATGTGAGAACCAAGTTTGAGTCCAGTGGCCTCTATAAGACCAACAAAATTTAATTTCTGGGTATACGTAAGAAGAGAATGACTCTGTGTGTGTAGTGAGATAAGAAGCCGATATCTCTGTTAAGCCCTGGGGGTTCCACTGTCCTGCATATTCTAATAACTTGTAATTCAGCAATCTCCCATTCCAGTCTGTTCCTGAGATTCCTTTGCAGTAAAACAGCTACTTTGAGGTGCCCCACTGAAGACCCATCTAAGTTGTCCTGTCAAACAGACTGCCTTCCCTTCCCTCCTCCTCTTCCAGCAGGGAGTTCCACAGGCTCAGCCCTCTGCTCGGAAAATGTTAGAGTTGGAAGGGACCTTGCAGGTCATCTAGTCCAACCCCCAGCTCTGCAGGAGCATAGCTGAAAGACAGCCCTGCGATACCTACAGCATACTTGAACGATGGTCGTCCAGCCTCCGCTTGAAAACGCCCAGCGGAGCATCCACCACCTCCCGAGGGGCAGTCTGTTCCACTGCTCAACCACTCTTACAGTTAGGAAGTTTCTCCTGATATTTAGCCGGTAACGACTCCCTTGTAGTTCCCACCCATTAGATCTAGTCTTGCAATCCGGAGCAAGAGAGAATAGATCTGCTCCATTTTCTACTTGAAGACTGCAACCATGTCCCCTCTAAGCCTTCTCTTTCCCAGGCCAAACAGACCCTTCAACCTTTCCTCATAAGACTTGGATTCCAACCCTCTCACCATCCTGGTTGTCCTCTTCTGGACACGCTCGAGCTTGTCAACGCCCTTCCTAAAATGTGGTGCCTAGAACTGGACACAGGACTCCAGGTGAGGCCTGACCACAGCAGAATAGAGCGGAACGACCACCTCCCATGATCTGGACACAATGCTTCTGTTTATGCATCCTAAGATTGCATTAGCTTTCTTCGCAGCCACGTCGCACTGCAGGCTCATGTTTAGCTTGTGATCAACCGGAACACCTAGATCCCTTTCACATGTGCTGCTGTCAAGCCAAGTCCCTCCCATTCTATATCTGTGCCTTTGATTTTTTGTAACCTAAGTGTAGGACTTTGCACTTCTCTCTATTGAAATGCATTTTATTTGTCTCCGCCCACTGTTCCAGCCTATCCAGATCATTTTGAATCCTGGCTCGGTCTTTTAATCACTTCTTGTGTAAAGCAGTATTTCCTTCTGTCCGTCCTGAGCCTACTGCCCATTGGCTTCACTGGATGCCCTCGAGCGCTAGTTTTTTGGGAAATGGAGACAAAGTCCTCTGTCAGCTCTCTCCACCTCATGCATCACAGATGATAACCAGGAACTAAACTTGACATCCTTTTGATCTGTTTTAAAAAAGGGCGTCCTCACGATTTTGCATGCTAATCGAACAAGCCACTCCTATATAGGCGACTATGATCTGTCATTCCATTTCATCGTCTGACGAAGTGTGTGTGCGCACGAAAGCTCACGCCTTGAATAAGACTTTGTTGGTCTTATAGGTGCCCCCACTGGATGCTAACTTTGTTTTATAAACCTCTGTCGTTTTTTTCCTTTAGTCCTCTCTTTTCTAAATGGAGAAGTCCCAAACTCTTCTTCAGCCATCCCTCCTAGGGAATCCTCCTTGGTGCTTGGGGGGGGGGGGAGAGACAGAGGGAGGGCTCCTGGTGCCCTGACCCCACTGCTGGACCTCCTGAAGGCACCTGGTATTTTTGGCCACTGTGTGACCCAGAGAGTGTTGGACTGGATGGGCCTTTGGCCTGATCCAACATTCGCTTCTCTTAAGTTCTTATGGGGCAAGGGATGCTCTGTCTTCTTGGTGCTTGCGGGGGGTAACAGTGGGAGGGCTTCTAATGTCCTGGCCCTGCTGCTGGACCTCCTGAGGGCCCCTGGTATTTCTGGCCACTGTGTGATACAGAGTGTTGGACTGGATGGGCCTTTGGCCTGATCCAACATTGGCTTCTCTTATGTTCTTCTGTCTGGGGCAAAGGATGCTCTGTATTCTTGGTTCTTGGGGGGGGGGGCAACAGTGGGAGGGGCTTCTAGTGTCTTGGCCCCACTGCTGGACCTCCTGATGGCACCTGGTATTTTTGGCCACTGTGTGACACAGAGTGTTTGACTGGATGGGCCATTGGCTTGATCCAACACTGGCTTCTCTTATATTCTTAAGGTATAGATAGGAACTCTTGGTCTGGGGCAAGTGACGCTCTGTATTCTTGGTGCTGGGAGGGGGGAATAGTGGGAGGGCTTCTAGTGTCCTGGCCCCACTGCTGGACCTCCTGATGGCACCTGGTGTTTTTAGCCACTGTGTGACAGACAGAGTGTTGGACGGGGTGGGCCATTGGCCAGATCCAACACTGGCTTCTCTTATATTCTTATATGAACTCTGGGTCTGGGGCAAGGGATGCTCTGTCTTCTTGGTGCTTGGGGGGGGGGTCAACAGTGGGAGGGCTTCTAGTGTTCTGGCCCCGCTGCTGGACCTCCCGATGGCACCTGGTATTTCTGGCCACTGTGTGACCCAGAGTGTTGGGCTGGATGGGCCACTGGCCTGACCCAACATGGGCTTCTCTTCTGTTCTTATGTCCTTGGCCTGATCCTTGACCTGGTTATTTGGGCCACTGGGTGACCCAGAGTGTTGGGCTGGATGGGCCGTTGGCCTGATCCAATACGGGCTTCTCTTCTGTTTTCTTTGCCACAAGGCCACTAGAACTTGTAGAGAGTGCCATTCTGCAGCTCCATGCGCACGCGGATGAAGCGGCACTCTGAGGCAGCGGGGCTCCCGGGCGTGGGGGGTTTGGGGTAGGCCGACCCGCAGGACGCCGAGCGCCGGTGCCCGCGGGCAAAGCCGCCCCCAGTGGCGGGTGGTGGTGGGGCCAAGCCCCCAGGCGAAGAGGGCAGGTCGTCCTCTGTGGCTCTGTCGAGCACGGAGACCGAGGGCCACTTTGTTTGCTGGGGAAGGAAGGCAAGTGAGGGTCAGTGAGGGCAGCATGTGGGGGAGCAGCCAAAGGGTCCACGCGGGGAAGGAGTGCACGGCGGCACCCATTCCGGAGTGGGTCACAGTACACGCCATGTACGCGGAAGGGGCCCGGATCCCTAGCCTTTCTTGGTTGTAAGGTCGCAGAGGGCAGGTGCTGGGAAAGGCCCTCTTGAGACGCTGGACAGCCACTGCCACCAGTGTTCCCTCTAAGCTGAGTTAGTGTGAGCTAGCTCATAGTTTTTTAGCCTCTGGCTCACACATTTTTGTCTCACCTCAGGGAGGAGGGCTCCGGAGCAAACTAATCTATGCAGTTGCAAAATCGGTCGCTCACAACTTTCATGCCAGCAGCTCACAAGGTAGAATTTTTGCTCACAAGACTCCACAGCTTAGAGGGAACATTGACTGCCACCAGTGTTCCCTCTAAGACAGGGGTGGCCAAACTGTGGCTCGGGAGCCGCAGGCGGCTCTTTCACGCATACAGCACGGCTCCCGGCAGGGCGACTGGGGGAGCTGAATATCGTTAGCAATCAAATACCATTGGAGAAATAAATATCATTATCAATATCTGCTTTTACCCCTTCCGTTGTTGTTTCTGGCCGTCTCATTTAATGTTAGTAAAAAGCAAATCTGCATTTGTTGTTGTTCAGTCGCAGAGTTGAGTCTGACTCTCCGCGACCCCATGGACCAGATCGCGCCAGGCCTTCCGGTTTTCCGCCGTCCTCTGAAGTTGGCTCAATTTCATGTTCGTTGCATCGATGACACTGTCTAACCATCTCGTCCTTTGCCGTCCCCGTCTTCTTTGACCTTCAATCTTTCCCAGCATCAGGGTCTTCTCCAGTGAGTGCTCCCTTCTCATTTGGTGGCCAAAGTATTTGAGCTTCAGTTTCATTATCTGGCCTTCTAGGGAACAGTCAGGGTTGATTTCTTTTAGGACTGACTGATTTGATCTTCTTGCAGTCCAAGGGACTCTCAAGAGTCTTCTCCAGCACCATAGTTCAAAAGAATCTATTCTTCGGCGCTCGGCCTTCCTTATAGTCCAACTCTCGCAGCCATACGTGACTACTGGGAATACCATTACTTTGACCATGCGGACTTTTGTTGGCAGGGAGATGTCTCTGCTTTTTATCATGCTGTTTAGGTTCGCCATCGTTTTCCTCCTGCATATCTCACAGTAAAAACGTGTAATATTTGTTCATGCCTTGCGGCTCTCAAACACCTGACGTTTATTCTACGGGGCTCTTGCGTCGAGTGAGTCTGCCCCCCCCCCCTGTTCTAAGCTGTGGAGTCTTGTGAGCAAAAACCCTACTTTCCGAGCTCCTGGCATTAAAGCGGTGAGCGAGCGATGTGGCTGCTGCATCGATCAGTTTGCTCCGGAGCCCTCCTTCCTGAGCCGAGACAAAAAACGTGTGCGCCGGAGGCTGAAAAACGGTGAGCTGGCGCACACTGACTCTGCTTAGAGGGAACACGGGTTGCCAACAAGAGCAGAAAACGGAGAGCACCATGAGCCTGCGTCGAAGTCTGGATCGTTGGCCGGCAGGAGGGTTCCCAACTCCCTGACCAGATCCCCGGACCCGAAGCAAACGGCCCAGTGCTGAATGCAAGACCACAAGGAATGGTTTGGGGCCTTTGTGGGTTTCTTCCCAGGGCCCCCGTTCCCACAGCTGGGAGGAGGCAGGAGAACGGGGGGGTGGGGGTGTGTGCTTGGAAGGGGCCCCCTTGCAGTAGTCACCTGGGCCAGGGAAGGAGCAGAAGAGACCAGCAGGTCGGGGGGCGCCTGGGGGGAGCCGGGCTTGTCCCAGGACATGGGCGCGCCGATCCCGATGGAGCTGAGCATGCTACAGAGAAGGAAGAGAGGAGGAGGCCAGTTAGGAGAAACCCTCTGCCTCTCCCCCACACACACACACACTGCCCCTCTCTTGCAGAGAGAGGAGGAGGCGATTGGATTTCTACCCAGCCCTTCACTCAAGAGTCTCAGAGCAGCTTAAAATCCCTTTTCCCTCCCCACAACAGACACCCTGGGAGGTAGGTGGGGCTGAGAGCTCTCTCTCTCTCTCTCTCTCTCTCTCTCTCTCTCTCTCAGAGATTGGATTTATACCCCGCCCTTCACTACCCGAAGGAGTCTCAGAGCGGCTTACAAGCTCCTTTCCCTCCCCCTCCCCGCAACAGACACTCTCTGAGGTCGGTGGGGCTAAGAGAGCTTTTGACAGAAACGGCTCTTTTTTCAAGGACAGCTCTGACAGAACTATGGCTTGCCCAAGGTGCAAGTGGAGGAGTGGGGAATCAAACCCGGTTCTCCCAGATTAGAAGAAGAAGAGAAGAGATTGGATTTATACCCTGCCCTTCACTACCCAAAGGTGTCTCAGAGCGGCTTACAACCTCCTTTCCCTCCCCCTCCCTGCAACAGACACCCTGTGGGGTAGGTGGGGCTGAGAGAGCTCTGACAGAAACTGCTCTTTTTTCAAGAACAGCTCTTATCAGAACTACGGCTTGCCCGAGGTCATCCAGCCAGGTGCAAGTAGAGGAGTGGGGAATCAAACCCGGTTCTCCCAGATTAGAGTCCGCACACTTAACCACGACACCAAACTGGCTCTCGAGGACTGCAGCAGCTGCCAGTGGAGGAGTGGGGGATCAAACCCGGTCCTCCCAGATTAGAGTCCGCGCTCCTACGCACGACACCAAACTGGTGCTCCTCCTAACCAGTACACCGGGAGGCCAGAAACACGATCAGGCCTGGTGTGTGGCCCGGGGGGGTGGGGGCGAAACTTTGCAACCTTCCCCCACCCACTCGGCCCCCCTCTCTCACTCTGTGCAGTGGGTGATGACCACGGAAGGCTTCACGGGTCTGGTGGGGGTCCCTCCCTCCCCGAGGGGCTCGATAGCACAGGAAAGCTGGTAGCTGTGGGAGAAAGAGAAAGGGGGAGGCCCCGTGTTAGAAACGCCCCTCCATCATTCTGGAGGGAGGCCGTCGGATCAGTCCGCTTGTAGCCAAAACCAAAACCAAAATCTCCCGTTTCGTTGGGACCAGCCTTTCCGGCTGGTTGGGAGCACAGCCCTCTCTGTCCAACGCACAAGCTGGAACGTCATTCTACAGAGGCCCACGGCACACACGGAGCACCCAGGGAGGGCTGTCTCCGGAACTCTGTGCCAAGAACGTCACGACCTTCCCGGCCTCCAGCTGGCTGGCTAATCTGGCATCCCGCAGACACTGCAGAAAGCGGCTCAGCAGAGGATCCTCGGGGGAGGCGATGGAAGACGGCGGCCGAGGCAGGGACAGCTGGAGGGGGGGAGGACTCGGGGAGGGGGAACATCTGCCCCCCACTTCATGGCATACAGAGCACCGGCACCGGCAGTTCTTGGACATCCTAGCATCATAAGAGTTGGAAGGGTCCATACAGAGACCATCTAGCCCAGTGATGACGGACCTTTTAGAGACCGAGTGCCCAAACCGCGACCCAAAACCCACTTATTGATCGCAAAGTGCCAACACGGCAATTTAACCTGAATACTGAGGTTTCACTTTAGAAAAAACAACTCATACATTAACATAAGAGGATCCAAACAAAGTAAGGAAAGCAATCCCAAATGCTTTCGTTTACTTAAAATTATTTGGTAGAGAATTCCACACTTTAATGACGGTCTGGGCCTGGCTGGGGCGATGGCACGCCTGCCCAGGGAGGGGCTCTGTGTGCCGCCTCTGGCACACGTGCCATAGGTTCGCCACCACTGATCTAGTCCAACCCCCTGCCCAATGCACGACCAGCCGAAAGCATCTCTGACAAATATCCATCCAGCCTCTTCTCGAAAGCTGCCAGTGAAGGGAAGCTCACCAGCTCCCTAGGCAGCCGATTCCACCTTTGAGCCACTCTGACCGTGAAGTTCTTCCTAATATCCAGCCGATAACTTTCTGCAAGTAATTTGAACCCGTTGCTTCGGGTCCTCTCCTCTGCTGCCAACTGGAACAGCTCCTGGCCCTCCTCCAATTGACAGCCTTTCAAATGTTGAAAGAGAGCAATCATGTCCCCTCTCAGTCTCCTCTTCTCCAAACTAAACATTCCCAGGGCCCTCAGCCTTTCCTCGCAGGGCTCAGTCTCCAGACCCCGGATCCTCCTCGTCATCTCTTCCGCACCCTCTCGATTTTGCCCACATCCTTTTTATTTATTTATTTATTTTATTTATATCTTCGATTTCTACCCCGCTCCAACCCCGAAGGGTCTCTGAGCGGCTTACAAGTTCCGAATTTATCCCTAGCTAAGGCCACATGTTTTTGCAGCGAGGCCTCCAGAACTGCACACAGGAGGACTCCAGGGGCGGCCTGACCAAGGCAGTCTACAGAGGGGCTGTGACCTCCTGCGATTTCAAAGCTATGGCCCTTTTGATACAACCCAAGACGGAATTTGTCTTTTTTGCTGCCGCATCACACTGACTGCTCATATTTAGTTTACAGTCATAAGAACATAAGAACATAAGAGATGCCAATGTTGGATCAGGCCAAAGGCCCATCCAGTCCAACACTCTGTGTCACACAGTGGCCAGAAATACCAGGTGCCCTCAGGAGGTCCACCAGTGGGGCCATGACATTAGAAGCCCCTCCCACTGTTGCCCCCCCCCCAGGCACCAAGAAGACAGAGCATCACTTGCCCCAGAGCCCCTATCTATACCTTGTGGCTAATAGCCACTGACGGACCTCTGCTCCAGATGCTCATCTAATTCCCTTTTGGAGCCGTCCATGCTTGTAGCCGCCACCACTTCCTGTGGCAGTGAATCCTTTCGGACCCATAAGGGGGCAGTGCTCAGAAAGTCTCTTCTCCCAGCGCTTGGATGGGAACTTTCAAAGGGTCCCCCCCCCCCCGGGTCTGAGCCACCTGGTCACACTGACAACTGATGGGATGACTGCAAAGCTCTTCGAGAACCATTATGGGGGTGCTGGGGCCCCCCCCCCGGAAAGTGGCACACAAAGACCGCACAGAACCCAACAAAATGAAAAATTAATTTATAAGTGGCAAACGAGAATCCAACCTTGAGGAGGAGGAGGAGAGGTGGATTTATACCCCGCCCTTCACTCGGAGTCTCAGAGCGGCTTACAATCTTCCCACAACAGACACCCTATGAGGTGGGTGGGGCTGAGAGAGCTCTTTTGAGGACTGCTCCTGAGAGATCAGCTCTGAGAGAACTGTGGCTTGCCCAAGGCCACCCAGCTGGCTGCATGTGGAGGAGTGGGGAATCGAATCAAACCCGGTTCTCTCAGATTAGAGTCCGCCACTCTTAACCACCACACAAAACTGGCGAATGAGAAGAACAGAAACAATACAGCACTAGCGGTAAGTACTTATAGATTGGACATTTCCAAAATTCTTTCAGGAAGACACTCGACCTCACGGAGGCAGCTTTTCTCAGGCCTCTGGGTAACTACCCGAATAGGAAAGATGGCTCTCTAAACCGCAAGGCAAAGTTCCTGATTTTTAACTAGGGATGGGCACGAAGTGCAAAAACATGGTTCGTTTCAGTTTGTGGTCAAACCATGAACTGGAAGGTTTGTGGCCCCAGCAAACCATGTCGACAAGTTTTCAATGGGGTTTGCAGAAAGCTGCAAAAACTGTTGAGTAGCGGGGAGCAGAAAGCAGGGTTTAAAGGGGATTCAGAGTCCCTTTAAACCCCTGCCTTCTGCTCTGGCCACAAATGGCTTTAGAGGTTCACGGAAGATCATGACGGTAGACCCATCACACGAACTTCGCTTTACGAACTGGGCAAAGTTAGTGATGAATTTTGCTTCGTGGTTTGGTGTGTGCCCGTCCCTGTTTTTAACAGGTGAACACAGACGTGGGGGAGGGGGACAACAAAGAGAAGTGCCCACCTTTTGCCCTCAGTGAGGCGGGGGAGGCGCTGCAACCATCCCTGGAAGGTGCGGTCAGGCCTCAGGGTGTAGTTGCGGCAGGCGGCCTGCAGGAGGCGCAGCTGCGTCAAGATTTCGAACTCCTGGCGGAGGAAAAAGAAGTGTGAACGGGTGGCTCCCGTCTTCCCAGAGGCTGGGGGCACCCCCTTCATTCCCTCGACCCACTCCTTGTATCTCCTGCCAAGCCACATACCTTGCGGTGCTTCTCAAAATTGATGTATCCGTTCTGCAGAGAGAGAGAGAGACCCAGAGTTACCCCAGAAAGGTAGGCCTCTTCCTCGACCACTACAATGAAGGCCAAAAAGGCCAAGCTAACTCCAGTTCGGAGCCAGCGTGGCACACAGTAGTGAAAATACTGAACGAGCATCGGGGAGTCCCAAGTTCCAGTCCCGACGCGTGGCACGGAAGCTCACTGGGTGACCTCGGGACAGTCACGCCCTATCGGCCTAACCTCCCTCACAAGGTTGTTGTGAGAATAATAAAGAGGAGAGGCAGATGGTGTGAGCCACTTTGGGCACCCACTGCGGGAAAAGGCAGGATACAGATAAATGAAATAAACAAACCAGGGGGGAAAAGCCACAAACGTTGCCAGAAACACGCTGGCCGGTTTGCTCCTGTCTAAATTGGCAGTGGGGGGTGGGGGTTGATGTCAGATAATACCTGCTTCCAGGGCTTTTTTTGTAGAAAAAGCCTAGCAGATAATAGGCCACACCCAACAGCAGGAACTCATTAGCATAATAGGCCACACCCCTGACAGCACAGCACATTAACATATTAGGCCACACCCCCACGTTACCAGAAGTGTGGCCATCCGGCCACACCCACCTTTTGCTTCTTATTCTGTTTACCTTGTTTGTTGTCAAAACCCAGGGCCTTTTTTTGTAGCAGGAACCCCTTTGCATGTTAGGCCACACACCCCCTAAAGTAGCCAATCCTAATGAGTTTCTGCTGTTGGGTGTTGGATCCCCAAGCATCGAGAATAAATCCACGTTTTCAAGAAAAGCAAAATTTATTTCAAAGCGTTGAAGACATACTCAAACACGTTCTTTGTTAGAACTGGGGATACACAGGTAGGGCTAGCATAATAAAGGAAATTCAAACAGATACATATCCAATGAATAACATTCCCGCTGGCGGGCTAATGAAACGGTTGCGCGCCCATTCTATGGGAACCAGGCAGAACATCAGACAAAACACAGGTGCAGTTCTCATAAGATAAGCAATAGGCAAGCATTACAGCATCTTCTCCCCCACACATCCACCAGCAGTTATCTTATGCATTCCAGCACAGAAGCAGGATGGTAGAAACAAGCCGGGTGCAACAGGGTAAGGATATGTACACAGAGGTCACACAAAACAGAATGGCAGCTTGCTGACAACCACTAAACCAAACTGGCTCTGGGTTGTATTAATCCAGATAGGGTCAGGATTCCATCAGAATATAAGGGTGGCTTGGTTTGGTAATGGTTCTAGTTGTATTTACCCACAGGTAGTGTCTAAACTATTGAGCAAACTTCAGAGGATGGCAGAAGACTGGAAGGCCTGGCGGGATCTGGTCCATGGGGTCGCGAAGAGTCGGACTCGACTGTGTGACTGAACAACAACAAAAGTGTCTAAATTAGTTGTTATCGGCCAGTAATGGAACGCAGGAATCATGATGGATTGTTCCCTGGAAGTCTCTGCTCAGCATACTTAAGCAATTAGAAAGTCAATGTCACTGGGGAAAAAATAATTTTTAAAAAGGTAGGAAGCAATGTCATACCACTAAACCTACCGCTCATCCACACCTTGAGTGAACAATTTGGGTCAACATGTTCTTTTTCAACAGATCTCTTAGAATACAAAAGAAAGCTAACAAAATATCTGGAGTGCGCACATTAGAAAACAGATGGCTAAAGGGGGGGAAATGACATCTTTATACAGAACCATGAATATGGATAAATAGGGGACAGCTGTTTACCCTTTTGCTCAGAACTACAGTTGGAAAATACCTGATGACTTTATTTTATAATTCTGGGTTTATGTGAATGTGTAGTTGACGATGTGGTACTTCGAGAAATCAACTTTTTCCCCCCACACAGCATAATTTATTATGAGTCATGCCTCTAGTTTGTTTAACCTGCAAACTGCTCTGCATTTTGGATTTTATTTACCCTAGCAACGTTCATATTCCCATCCCCCCCTCCCATTTCTTAACACATATTTCTGGACTCTTAGAACAGACTGAAGATACCTGGGCTGCGATCATGCATACTAAACAATCTGCTTTCCATGCACTTTCCAACTGGATTTTACTATGGCCACTTCCACACAGTCACTTTTGACACTCGTTTGTCCCTATTGCTTTGCCCCCCCCCCCAATAGGTGACAAAAATCCAGTTGAAAAGTGGATTGAAAGTGGATTGTTTAGTGTGTGTGATCGCAGCCCTGATGTATTTCTATCACCGGACCGAAGCAAGTCTAGGCAACTTAAGAATCATCTTGCTGCATTAGGCCAAAGTCTGTCACTAGTTCCAAATCTGTTCCCTGCAACAGGCAGCCAGATGTTTTGAGGAAACTATTTGACAAGCAAGTCACATAGTTGATGACTATCTTCAATTTTCTGTCCTTAGGCCAATGGCCCTCAAGCCTCCCCTCCCCAATATTCCTTCTGGTTCCCCACCTTACACCTTACACCATCCAGATGCAACTCAAACATTATATGAAAACCAAGTACATGGCTACCCAAGCTCTGTGAACTCCATGATAAACACAGCCTTATGTGTTTTGACTCCCTTTGTGGATATGGTCCCCAGTATCTGTAATTTAAAGAGATCCATATAGGTTCCATTCAGCAATCATGACTGATATTCGTATACCTACTACCCATTCATTTATTAAATCCTTTTAAAAAGGTAATCCAAGGCAGTGGTCCCCACCACCCCTTGTGGCAATTTAATTCTATTTTGTGGTACATAAGATCACCCTCTTTCACAGGCAGAACTTTCATGCTTTTAAAATGGGGACACTGCTCAGTTTCTGCAGTATCACCATTTCAGCTCTAAAACCCTTGCTTCATTTTTTCCTGCTTCCTTGCACAAGTGAAACCTGTGGGTATTTTTGGGGCCATTTTTCTGTTTCCTTGATCAAAAAACTTTCTTCAATAAAATGAATGTGTTTTTATCTTTTCTTCAGTTGTGAATAAGAAGGTTACATGGTGTTTAATATAATATGTAATTGGGTTCAAAATGACAT